CCGCGATTTGAGGAAATGATACCAAATTTTGGCGTCGGGCTTTAAAAATCTCAGAGGGAATGTCATGGCACCCCGATCCGATCGGTTCCAAGTTGCTCATCTTCACAAAGACTTGTTAGCAGCTCATCGAGTTGTTCAGCATCGAGGTTGTCGGTGAAGTCATCAAGATCGTTCTTGATGGTTCGCAGATTGTAAAGTCTGTTGATAGTGCTCCCATAAATAGCAACTTGTTTTCCCCGAACATACACAAAATTGAGCTCATTATCATCGAAGTTGGCATAAAACTCCCTCACTAGAGGCACCACTGCTGCTGGAGGATGTTGACAAAAGGTTTCCCATCTGTTCCTTATAATAACGGAATATATATATTCCGGATAGCCCAATGTGTGGTTCCTTTGGTAAAGGAAGCCCTTTTCTGAGCTGAGAGCTCGTTGGCAGGTGATTTGAGCGTAGCGTTCATCTGCTAACTCAGAAACAAACTTTGCTCCACTCTCCTCAACGATAGGTTCTTGCCGAGGTTGCTCATTCTCAATCTGTTCTAGTGTCCCTTGCTCATTTTGAGTCTGTTTCTTTTTTCCTTTTCTAGCTCTAGTTTTAACTGGCATTGTGAATGACCGAATCAATTTAAACTCATAGGGGGTAAACCGGGCTGCCTATTGTTGATGCACAAACCACCTCACTCAACCCTAAAACTTCGTTAACGCACTAACTACACCCAGATATTAGAGACAATCCAAACCAGATTCATGTATCAACATCAAGTGTAAAAGGAATGGATTTGCAAACCTCAATGGAGACTCCCTGATCCGAAATGGGTGTTCTTTATTTCATTCTGAAATGATGGTGTAGAGGTGGTGCAAGCTCGGCGGTGAGTGGATGCACGAATGGGCGCAAACTCAGCGGCGAAGGTAGGGTTCACGGCGGAATGGTGTGGTGAGATATGGTTATGAGGACGACGGTGTGGGAGAGGAGGAGCTGCAGTGGCTGGTTTGAGGTAGAGGGCAATCGAGGAGGATGGGCACGGGCGTGAGGATTTTGGGGAAATGAATGAGGGAAAACAAAAAATGGGGAAAGTGGAGTTAGGGTTCTTTGGGGGGGGGGAGTGGGGAGACTACTTCCCTGATCTAAGCCTCATGTAAAATGATGGAAGTCTTGCAGCGATCCACAGGACCTCCCCAATAGTGCTTCAGCCACTGACCATTTACCTTAAATTTCCTCCCCGAGCTCTCTTCACTCAACTCTACTGTTCCATAGGGATATATACAGTGACTTTGAATGGCCCAGACCAGCGAGATTTCAGTTTCCTTGGAAAAATCTTCAACCGAGAGTTGAACAGAAGCACTTGTTGCCCAACTTCCAATTTTCGAGGTAGGATTTTGCTGTCATGCCATTTCTTTGTCTTTTCATTGTACAATCGTGCACTCTCATAGGCTTGTAACCTAAATTCATCCAGCTCATTCAATTGTAACAATATGTTCTGCCCGGTTGCCTGCCAATCGAGGTTTAGCTTCTTGAGAGCCCAAAAAGCTCTATGTTCTAACTCCACAGGCAAGTGACAAGCTTTTCCATAAACCAGTCTATAAGGTGACATTCCCAATAGTGTTTTCAATGTTGTTTGGAAGGCACACAGTGCATCATCTAAGCGCATTGACCAGTCCTTGCGAGTTGGGTTCACCGTTTTCTCAAGTATCCTCTTGATTTCTCTATTTGACAATTCGGCATGCCCACTAGTTTGAGGGTGATAGGCTGTGGCGATCTTGTGTTTGACACCGTATTTAGCAAGCAGTTGCCCCAAGTACTTGTTACAAAAGTGGGTTCCTTCGTCACTGATGATGGCTCGGGGGGTTTCAAAACGAGTGAAGATGTGCTTCTGTAAGAATTTCAGCACCACCTTGGCATCATTTGTGGGTAAGCAACCACCTCCACCCACTTTGACACATAGTCAACAGCTACAAGAATATATTGATTCCCAAAAGAGACAATAAAGGGCCCATAAAATCCATGCCCCAAACATCAAAAAGTTCCACTTCTAAGATGTTATTCAAAGGCATTTCATGTCTTTTTGATATGTCCCCAGTTCTCTAGTACCTGTCACACCTCAATGCAAATGCATGAGCATCTTTAAAAATTGATGGCTAGTAGAACCCTGATTGTAAAATCTTTGAAGCTGCCCTAATTCCGCCATAATGCCCGCCATAAGGTGATGAATGGCAATGATGTAAAATGCTCTCCATTTATTCTTCAGGGACACATCTTCTCAAAATCTGGTCGGCACATTGCCTGAACAAATATGGTTCATCCCAATAATAGACTTTGACATCATGAAGGAACTTCCTCTTTTGTTGGCTAGAAAGTTCAGGTCGAAGTAGACCACTTACCAAGTAGTTCACGACATCAGCATACCAAGGTGTAGCCAACCAATTCATTCTGAACAGCTGCTCATCTGGGAAAGTTTCCTTTATTGGCTCTTTGTCTCTCTAGGGGACCCCTTCCTCTAATCTGGACAAATGGTCTGCAACCTGATTTTCAGTTCCCTTTCTATCTCTGATCTCTAAATCAAATTCCTGGAGTAACAAGACCCATCTAATATTTTTAGTTCCCTTTCAGTTCCCTTCTTTGTAATCAAGTACTTGATGGCCGAGTGGTCAGTGTACACCACAACCTTGATTCCCACCAAATAAGCTCTGAACTTATCAAATGCAAATACTACAACTAGAAGTTCTTTCTCAGTGGTTGTGTAGTTCAACTGCACCTCAGTAGGTGTTATGCTTGCATAGTAGATAGAGTGAAAATTCTTGTCTTTTCTTTGGCCCAACACTGCTCCCACTGCAAAGTCACTAGCATCACACATCAACTCAAATGGTAATGACCAATCTGAAGCCACAATAATAGGTGATGTTGTAAGTCTCTTTTTCAGCTCCACAAATGCCTGCAAGCAATTCGCATTAAAATTGAAGGGAGCGTTCTGCTCCAACAATGAACACAGAGGTTTTGAGATTTGTGAGAAGTCTTTGATGAATCTCCTGTAAAAACCCGCATGACCTAGGAAACTTCTTATTCCTCTTATTGATGTAAGGGGAGGCAGCTTGTCGATAATCTCAATCTTAGCTTTATCTACCTCAATCCCCTTCTTAGATATCCTGTGGCTAAGAATAATTCCTTCTGTCACCATGAAGTGACATTTCTCCCAATTCAAAACCAGACTTGTCTCCTCACATCTCTTTAGAACTCCTTCTAAATTTTCCAAGCAATTGTCAAAAGAATCCGCAACCACTGAAAAGTCATCCATAAAGACCTCTAAGAATTGTTCTACCATATCTGAGAAGATGGCCATCATATAGACCTGAAAGGTAGCGAGGGCGTTGCATAGCCCAACAGGCATCCTTCTGAATGCAAATGTCCCATATGGACAAGTGAAGGTAGTCTTCTCCTGGTCTTCTGGTGCTATAGCAATATGATTATACCCTGAATACCCATCCAAAAAACAATAGTATTATCTGCTATCTAGTCTGTCCAGCATATGTTCAATGAATGGCAATGGGAAATGGTCTTTCCTAGTGGCTTTGTTTAATTTTCTGTAGTCCATGCAGACTCTCCAGCCTGTAACTGTATGCGTGGGGATTAACTCATTCGCATCATTCGCTACCACAGTCACTCCTCCCTTCTTGGGTACACATTGCACTGGACTAACCCACTGACTTTCTGGAATAGGATAAATAATCCCTACATCCAACCATTTAATGACTTCTTTTTTCACAACTTCCTTCATGATTGGATTTAGCCTTCTTTGATGTTCTATGGAATTGTTGTAGCATTCCTCCAGCAAAAATTTGTGCATGCATATGGATGGACTAACTCCCTTAATATCTACAATTTTCCATCCTATTGCTTTTTTAAACCTCCTCAGCAACTCAAGCAACTTACGCTCATGGTCTTCAGTTAACTCGGCTGAAACAATAACCGGTAGCGTTTCACTTCTCCCTAGAATGCATACCAGAGGTGGGATGGCAAAGGTTTCAACTCTAAGACTGGGAGGGTCTTCTATAGATGGCTTAGGTGGTTTGAGCTCACGTTCGGATAGCCCCAGAGGCTCAAACTGCCTTCCTCTAGCTGTACTGGATGTCCCTGATTCCAGCCAAGCTAATTGGCTACTCAATTCGGAATGTTCTTCTTCCAACTCTTGCTCCAGCTCCTTAAAAGCACTAGTGTCCATTACATTCACCAAAGAGCATTCTTCCACTTCATCAGGAAATCTCATTGCCTTGAGAACATTAAAAGTGACTCTCATTGTCAACTCTCCTTTTTGTGCATCTATTAATGTCCTCCCTATAGCTAAGAATGGTCTCCCTAAAATGATGGGCACCTCCTTGTCAGCTTCATAATCCAAAATAATAAAATCAGCGGGGAAGATGAACTTATCTACTTTCACCAGGACATCTTCAATTTTTCATTCTGGATGAGCTAGAGATCGATTAGCCAATTCAAAAGTTACTATGGTTGGCCATGCTTCCCCAATTCCAAGCTTCTTGAAAACTGACATAGGCATAAGATTTATGCTTGCTCCTAAATCACAGAGAGCCTTGCCAAAGTAGTTATTGCCAATTGCACATGGGATGGTGAAACTCCTAGGATCTTTTAACTTGGGAGGGATTTTATTATGCAAGATGGCGTTACTTTCTTCCGTCATTGCCACTGTTTCGAATTCTCCAAGTCTTCTTTTCTTTGAAAGAATGTCTTTCATGAATTTCACATAACTAGGCATTTGCTCAAGTGCCTCCACCAATGGAATATTAATATGGAGCTGCTTCAAGACATCTAGAAACCTTTTAAATTGTTTATCTTGCTGCTGCTTTTGAAATCTTTAAGGAAAAGGTGGCGGTGGCCTGTCATTATGCTTTTCTGCCAAACTTTACTGCAGGTTCTGCAGCATCGCTTCTTTTTCCAGATTCTTCCACTTCTGCTTCCTTTTCCACTTCACCTTGGATTGAAGAGGGCTCTTCTCAGCGCTTGGGCTGTCTAGTCACTTGCTCGACTTCTTTCCCATTCCTCAGCGTAATAGCCTTGCAATGCTCTTTGCCTTCATGCCTAGGATCTTCAGTATTACTTGGGAGTGCGCCTGTAGGGTGACTATTCAAGGCATTAGCTAACTGCCTCATTTGATTCTCCAAGTTCCTCAATGAAGCTACTTGGTTCTGAATCAGTGCCGACTGATTTTGAGTAATGGCATCATTCTTTGCCATGTACTCTTTCAACAAGTGCTCAATCGATGAGTGCTGTTCCGCTGGTTGATGTCTCGGCTGTTGTGGAAATCCAGGAGGATGTTGAGGGTGGTTTGCTATTGAAGAAGATGTTGCATTCTGCCCTTGAGAGTTCCAGGAAAAATTTGGGTGTTGCCTCCAACCTGGGTTATAAGTGTTGGAATATGGATTGTTGTTTCTGTTGAAGTTACCCATATAACATGCTGATTCTGGGTTGGATGGACAACTATCAAAGAGATGCCCTTCACCACAGTAAGTACAAGAGACCGCTATAAACTGAGGAGAATTCACCTCATGATTCATTGATTTCAAGATACTTGCCAAGGATGACACTTGAGCAGTTAAAGCTGTCACCGCATCCACTTCATGAATTCCTGCTACTCTCCTAGCTGCAGCTGCTCTCTCCGCAGGCCACTGATAGTTGTTATTAGCCATCCGTTCCAAAATCTCATAAGCCTCATTGTAAGTCTTTGCCAAAATAACACCATTGGCTGAAGCATCTACTATGGTTCGAGTTTGCCCATTAAGTCCATTATAGAACGTTTCCATCTGAATCCAATGAGGAATCTCATGGTGAGGGCATTTGCGCAACAATTCCTTAAACCTCTCCCATGCCTCATACAAAGATTCTCCCTCATGTTGCTGAAATCCGGTGATGTCATTTCTAAGCTTGGCATTCTTAGTTGGAGGGAAATACTTCATCACAAATTTCTCTGCCAAGTCATTCCATGTCGCCACAGAGTCCGGTGGTAGATAGTTTAACCATACCCTAGCTTTATCCCTCAAGGGATAAGGGAAGAGCTTCAGTCTCAAAGCTTCTTCTGTAACCCCTGGGAGCTTAAAAGTATCACAGACTTCCATGAATAACCTGAGATGCAAGTGGGGATCTTCAGTTGCCATGCCACTGAATTGACCCACTGTTTGCAACATTTGAAATATGACCGATTTAAGCTCAAACTGAGGCGCCTGTATCTCTAGCCTAATGATGCCAAGATTGAGCCTATGTAAAATCGGTATGGCATATTCTCTGATGGCCTTATCCCTAACATCTGCCATGGCTGCCTAGTTAGCTGGATTGATAACATTTACGGGCTGCCCAAGGTTGACTGCATTGCCGGTAGCTTCCTCTGCCATTCCTTCAGCAAACGCTAGACCTTGATGCTCCATTCTCCTTGCTAGGAACGTTCTTTCAATTTCTGGATCCAAGGGTAGCAAATCACAATCTTGTTGTCAATTCATGCGAGAAGAAGAATATCCGAAATAGACGGAAACAAAATTGTCAAGTAAAATAATGAAAACACTTAAATCTTACAAAGATCAACTATGATAACATTCCCCGGCAACGGCACCAAAAACCTGTTGCGTGATTTTTATGCTCGCAAGTGTACGTGCCAAACAAGTAATAAAGTGTGAGTAGAGTATCGTTCCCACGGAGAAAGTTATCAATATTTTTCCTAATAAGATCCAAGAGATGCAATGTAAACAAATTTAATGATTTGATTCAATTACAAAGACTAGAAGAATTGCAGTAAACACAAGTAAATAAATGCACACTCAGTTATTAAATGAGAAAATCAATCTATGTGAAGGACTGGGACTCAATTTCTCCTCAACTGCAACCTGGGCTATTTATGTTACGACTTTTGCTACAGCAATCTGTCAGTTAGCCTGAAACACGAATTTTACACAAGGATCTCTCGACCTACTTATGATTTCGCCTCTTTACTCATATTTCAACATATTCCTATGAGAAATCTAAACATAGAGGTTAAGTAAGCATACGTTTCAATTGGGCTATGTGAGACAAGTGCATATTGCTATACTACTCGCAAATCAACTAGATTTCTTTGTGAAATTTAGCTAAACAATACATTGTTCAATATTGGTCTAATTCCAATCAACTTTCCAGCAAATTGAACTCACAATATTTTGTTTAAGATGGCTAGTCTGTAAACAAAAATGAACGATAAAGATTATATTGAACAAACTAGATTAACATTAATATAGCAAAAGTGGGCATACACAACGTTAATAACATATCCAAGTACTTTATCATCCCAGCCAAGTTAATTTAGCTCATACTTGTTATGTTAAGTTCAACAAAATGAACAGCCATGATTTGAATACAGAGAAAAAGGAAAGATAAACCAAAATGAGGAGAACAACAGTAAAGACTAAGTGAAGCTTGGTGGTCTCCTCCCGTGGCTTCACTGCTTGAGATTTCCAGCCAAATTCGTCTCCTCCGTACTTGTTTTCTTTTCTTTCTCTCTCTCTAGTTTTCTTTTTACTCTCTGCTGCTTGTTTTTCTTTCACTCGGGTGCTCTGGTTTCTATTTTCTCCTCTTGCTTCCTTATTTGCTTCCTGCGGTGCCCCTCTTCCCTCTTGTGAGTTTCTAGGTGCATTCCTCTTTAGGACAACCAAGGACGCTGAGGTGGCACCTACTCAGAGGTTGGGTCCAGCTGACTAAGCACCAAATCTGTCTTATGCGCTCTTTGTCCTAATTCTCGTGCAAAGTTATGCGCTGTCATCCACTAACTGCATGCTGTCACATTTTTACTGTAGAAAATGTTGCAGCATTTATCATCACAAAACCTGCAAATCAGAAACGACACTCTTTTGGACACACGTTTGCAATTTTCTTCAAAATTATCTCAAGAACCGCACACAAATGAATCTCAGTAAAGTGCACCACATGAACCAAAAGTTGAGTAAATAAAGCAGAAAATTAACAACTAAACCTTTAGATGAGTCAACTAAAAGCCTAGAAATGCCTACAATAACTCTAATTCCTAGAGTTATCACCATGGATCTCCGAAAATCTTAGTATCCTTCCCCAACCCAACTCTCCACCTTAAACCGCATTTGAGCAAATCCCTACCCCATAGGAGGCTAAGCCAAGTGAATGACGAATTATGCCCCACTTCAGCATCCATAATGGAGCCCTGCGGATAATATTTAGCTTTAAAAATCCTCGAGACCAAGCCCTTCGGATTAGAAACAATTTGCCAACATTGTTTGGCCAAGAGAACTTGGTTAAAAGCTCCAATATCTCGAAATCCCATACCTCCCTCAAACTTAGGCCTACATAACTGCTCCCAACGTAACCAATGAAGTTTTCTCTCTGATTCACCACCTCCCCACCAAAAGCGTGACACCAGAGATTGGATGTCCTGGCATAGAGTTAGAGAGATTCGAAAGACACTCATAGTGTATGTAGTGGTAGCCTGAGCTACAACTTTAATTAGAATCTCCTAACGGCCATGGAGAAAAACTTACCCTTTCACGCTTGGAGTTTTTGAAAGCACACGGTCCTTCACGGCATTAAAAGTGGCTCTTTTATTGCGGCCGACAAAGGATGGGAGGCCTAACACTTATCATGCACCAAATTACTTGTCGACAACCCCAAACACTCTTGAATTGCTCCTTTACTTTTCCTCATTCATATTAGGACTAAAAGTAATCATAGATTTTGCAAAATTAATCACCTGCCAGATGCCTTAGCGTACCGATGAAGAATCTCCTGAATAACCAAACACTCATCATCAACAGCCTTGCAGAAAATAATAGAGTCATCCGCAAAAAGTAAATGACTTACTCGAGGAGCTCGACGTGCAACCGCAATTCCAGTTAGCCTCTTAGCACGCTCCTCTTGACGAATTAAGGATGAGAGACCCTCTGCACATAGAAGAAACAAAAAAGGAGAGATTGGACATCCTTGTCTGATCCCTCGTTGTGGTAGAACTTGGCCTCGGGGCCCTCCACCCACAATAAAAGACATCCTTGAAGTAGTTACTCAATCCATTACCAATATCATAAATCGGTTGCCAAAGCCCGTAGTCTGCATCATTCTTTCCAGAAACGGCCATTCTATCCAATCATAAGCTTTGCTCATATCTAACTTCAAACCCATCAAACCATTTCTGCCACCAACCTTCCTTCGAATCGAGTGCAACACCTCAAAAGCTATCAATACGTTGTCAGTAATGAGGCGCCCAGGGACAAAAGCACTCTGCACTTGAGATATTACAAATGGGAGGACTTTCTTAAGCCGATTGGCTAATGTTTTAGATACAATTTTGTATAAAACATTACACAAGCTAATTGGCCGGAAATCCGAAACTTTCCACGCCTCTTTGATCTTCGGAATAAGCACCACATTCGTATCATTAAAGACTCACACCAACCCATTCCTATTTAAAATATTTAAACATACCTCCGTCACATCTCGCCCGACGATCTCCCAATTTTTCTAATAGAAAATAGCATGATAACCATCAAGACCAGGCGCCTTAGTAGGACCCATGCTAAAGAGAGCCTTCCGCACTTTATCCGCAAAAAAGGGATCATCCAACATATTCTTGTATTCATCAGGAAGTCTCTTATCTACAGCCCTTAAGACTCTTTCCATCTCATCATCTAACGGTGAGAGAGTGGAGAAAATGCTAGTAAAATATTCAACGCCAGCAAGAATACCATCTTCATCGTAAACCCATCTGCCATCACTCATCTCAATCCTCTTAGGGCGCGTTTGGTATGCGGGAATCAGTAGAAATCATATTTCTAAAAAAATAATATATGATAATATGATTCCTAAGAATAATACATTACTGTGTTTGGTTCCATACAGAAATCTTTTTTAAATTTTTAAAAATATTACATTACTATATTTAGTTATTCGCAAGGAAGATCCATAATAATAATAATAATAATAATAATAATAATAATAATAATAATATTATTATTATTATTATTATTAAAA